GAGAATCCAGGAAATCAGATGACTTCCTGAACTGCCCTCATCCATGGACTGTTCTCTTCCTTCTGCCTTTTAGCCTAGTCTTAGTTATTTTAAGAGGCAACTGCCAGAATCAGCGTCTGTCGCCTTGCTGAGGTCACACCCTAAGTTCCAGAATTGAGGGGTGGGTCTCTCTAAATTTCCCCCTTATCCAAGGTGCGTGTCCTCACTGTCCTCGTGCTGATAGTCTGCATCAGGCTCCGGGGTCTCAGACTGCACCTGAGCAGGGGTGTGGCAGGTGGAGGTGAGACTGACCCTGGGTCTGTTCTTCCCAGAGGCGCAGTCGGATTCTGCCCGGAGCAAGACACTGACGGGAGCCGGGGGCCTGGTGCTGGGGCTCGTCACCTTCGGAGTGGGCCTGTTCCTGCACAGGAGGAGCAGGAAAGGTGAGAAGCCTGCGAGGTGCCTGAGACTTGCCTTTCCCCTGATTACCCGTCTTCCCTGCCGAGGGGCTGAGACACACAAGCAATGCCAGAGAGTTCTGCAGGCCCCTGAAATCAGAGAGGAGGGAGCAGGTCGGGGAGCAGAGATGGCCCGTAGGGAGGGAGGAACCCCACGCTGGAAACTTAGCACGGCCAGACGCATGAGGTCCCCATTACTCTGGCTTGTCAGGGCGTCCATCGAGTGACGGACAATGGAAGATGAGATGGGAAAGTTTCTCTAATTGTCTAAGGTGCTTTTAATGGTTTAATCCATTCCCTTCCCTCTTTTCATTTCAGTCCAACGAGGATCTCCATAAACAGGTAATATTCCTGCTTCAGTGTTCTTGAGGGGGTGGGCTGCAGAAGGACATGTCCCTTCTCTGCATTGCGATGCTGAGGTCCCTCCTGGGAGGACAGTCTCAGGCCTGAACGTCTCTGTCACCTCAGCCCTTGGGCGAGTGTGGGGAAAGGGCCTGACTTGGTCCACCGGTGCAGGAGGCTGAGATAAATCTGTTCTTAATCAGGCCCAGTCTCCGTCTCTCACCATAATTTTCCTCTCCTGGGACTTAGAGGAAGAGAGGTCAGCAACCTGGGTAACGTTTTCTCTTTTGTCCCCACAGGGTCCCTGACCTAACCTGAAAAACTGCATGTGCCTCGGAACAAGTGTTTTTCTGTGTGTCTTAGTCCCAGAGGCTGGCTCTGGGACAGACCCCGGCTTCCCAAGAGGATGTTGCTGCCAAGTATTTGCTCTGAAGCCACTTTCT